TGGTCCCTCTTTCAAGACAAAGTTAGGGATTAAACCATCTACAGTCTAATTCTCGAAGACATATGGTTCCCTTCAAATGAAAATGAAGAGTAGGGGGGAATAAACCATCTACAACCAGGTGCCTCTACTTGGTTGATTATGGTCCCTCTTTCAAGACAAAGTTAGGGAGTAAATTATCTACAGTCTAAATTTCAAAGGCTGATTATGGTTCCCTTCAAATGAAAATGAAGAGCGGAGGGATGAAAATCGTCTATAATCAAATATTCAATTTGATTGACTATGGTTCCCTTTTTGTATGCAAAATTCCAAGGAGTAAGGCTGTCTACAAGCAGAATTTCATCTGATTGACTACAACTTATTATGAAGAAAGGAGTGAGAAGGAAATTTTCTTTGTACTGAAGAAAAGAGAAATGTATTGCTGTATGGTTTCTCAATTGTATTTTCTTTTTCTTTCTTCTCATTCTTGTACACCTGATGTAAAAGAAAAGTAAATGAAAAGTTCTTTTCAAGTATCCTATTGTTCTTTTCTTTTGTTCTATGCGTTCATTTCTCCAAGTTAGAATCAAAAGGTGTTCTCTACTTTCTTGTGGGGATGTAATTGAGGGGAACAATCCGTATGATTCCCTGAATGGGCCTTACCCAAAATAATAAAAACTCAATCACTTGATTGAGTGAATTATGTTGCATGATAATTTATTAAAATTTTCACACCAACACGCGTCGAGCTACGTTGGCAACTCCTTGGAAAGCAATTCAAAGTGTCCTCCCTCAATTCCTCAATTTTGTCAAGTATGATGTCTACTCTGGTAACTCTGTTTTATTTTGGGAAGGCATTTGTGTGGGTAGTTCTGTTCTTAAGGATCGATTTCCTTCCCTCTATTCCCTTTCCCTCTACAAGGAAAAAGCTATCTCTCATTTTCTTCCAACACCTGTCTTAGTTTCCTCATTGAGCTGGGACTTTGGATTTCTTAGGGGCTTGAGGGATCATGGACTTATTTGTGTTTCAGACCTTTTGTCGCTTCTTGGTATTTGCTTTTTTGGACCCTCTTTGATTGAATGTGAGATTATGGTCCCCTCATCCAAAAGGTTACTTCACATGTGCCTCCTCTTTTAAGACCCTTTGCTCTTCCCCGGGACAGTTGGGTTTACCGACTAAGGAGATATGGTCTAGACCTGTTCCACCTAAAATTACTATTTTCTGTTGGGAGGTGTTTTATAGAAAGATCAATACCTTGGACTGCTTGTAGAAGAAAAGGCATTTCATGTGCTTGTCCCCTAACTTGTGTGTACTTTGCAGGGCTAGTGGTGAGGATTGCTCCCACTTACTTTTGTCATGTTCTTTTTCTGTTGCTATTTGGGGTTGGATCTTTGCTTTGTTTGGGTGTAGGTGGAATTTGAAGGTAAGTCAGCTATTTTGATCCTTTCTTTTTTGTGTGGCCTACAAAAAAAGGTAGAACTATGTGGAGATGTATTGTGGACAATTTGCGAAGAAAGAAATGCGAGGTTATTCCAAGAGAAGGAAAGAAGCATTTTGGCTGTAGAGGAATGCATTTTGACTAGGGCAATCCACTGGTTGAGAACTTTGGACTTCTTTCACACCTCTTCTTTTGATGATATTTAGAGGAACTGGACAGTTGTGGCTAACAATCATACTGGGAAGGACAGGATACCAGCAGTGTGGGTGCCTCCTTCTGAAGGTTAGGTAAAGCTGAATTTTGATGGTAGTAGCCAAGGAAATCCAGGCCCATTGGGGATAGGAGGGGTGTTGAGAGATAAGGACAACAACATCTTAGCCTTGTTTTCAGGCCTCGTGGGAATAGAGGATTTTAACAGAGCTGAGTTATTAGCGGCTGTACAAGGTATTCCGATTATAGACCAATTAGGAGTTTAGAATCTGGTAATTGAAGAGACTCCAAAGTTGTTGTGGGATGGTTGACAAATCCAGATTCAGTTATATGGTGATACAGGGACCAATTGAGGAAAGTTAATTGGTTATCAAGGAGTATGACTATTACCCCTCTTTGAGTAGGCAGAACAACAAGTACCTTAGCAGATGCTTAGCTAAGTGAGGGGCCTCAAGGGAACAATTATTTTGGGCAGCACTGTAATTTTTTGTTTTAGGTTGATGTAATACTTTGTTAGGAGAGGTAACAGCTCGTGCCTCTCCATGGGTAGCCTATAACGATTTAACTGCTTGATCTGTTCATTAATAAAATCATTTTCACTCATAAAAAAATCATCAATTAAAACTTCTCTAGTGTGAACATTACACTGCTACCCAAGCTTGGATAAAGGAGGTGGGTTGCATTGGGTTGGTAGCTGGCATTAAAACTTTTTCCAAACTCTTATTAACATGGATCCGGATTTGTCATTCCGCATATTAGAATTGGGAATATCTTGGTGCCAGAAATCTTGGGTGAAGTGGTTAAAAGCTGGAGATAAAAAACAACTTTTTTTCCACAAAATTGCAAATGCTAGATGAAGATGCAATTCAATCACGAATGTCAGAATTGGGAACCATCTTTTTTTTTTAAGATGAAGAGGCGGCAGGTGAGGCTATTGTTCAGTTTTACAAGAGTCTCTATGGGCATAGGGAGGCAGAAAGGCCAAATCTAGAGGGTGTTGCTTTCAGTCAATTTGTAAATGTGTTAGTGGAATGGTTGGAGAGACAATTTGAAGATGATGAAGTGTTGTGGACCATTAAGGACTTGAAGGGTGACTATGCCCTGGTGCCTAATGGCTTTCCCATGGATTTTTATAAAAAATGCTGGTTGTCATTAAAGATGATGTCATGGCAGCATTGCAAAACTTCCATGATAATCATAAATTCCTGGCAATGGTCAATGCCACTCTGATTTCACTAATCCCAATATTCATGGTGTGGCTGATGTAAGAGTTTACATACTGATAAGTGTCATAGGGAGTTTTTACAAGGTGATTTCCAAAGTACTAGCTAATAGGTTGAGACAAGTTCTTTCATTCATTATCTCTCCATCCCAAGGAGCATTTGTAGATGGTCATAAAATCTTGGGTGGTGCTTTAATTGCAAACGAATGCCTTGATTCTAGAAGAAGAGAAGGAGATCCTGCAGTCCTTTGTGAATTGGATCTGGAGAATGCGAATGACCATGTCTTATTGGAACCAATGATTTAAAAGGCACAATCTATGTGTGTGTGTGTAGTTTTTTCTTTGTTCCTCTACTCTTTTATCAAGCCATAGTAAGATCTTTCAGTAATTTTGGGTTTTGAGATCGTTTAATATAAATAAATCAGTTTTGTTGTCGAGTAAAAAAATCATTTTTCCCAATTTCCTGGCTGAGCTTCGAGCTTTATATGAGGTCCAGGCTGGGGCTTGGGCCTGAATGTGTTCTGTTAATATAGAGGCAAAGCCCAGCCCGGCCCGTGAGCAGGTCTAACTGGAATTCTGTGGGTGAAAAGGTGCACCCGAAGCTCCAACCTTATCGGCAAACTTCCATCTCAAAGAGAGCATGACAAAAATTAGCTCCAGATATTTTGGTTCATACACCATACTGGAGAGGGGTGACTTAGTAGCCTATAAATTGTACCTGGCAGCTACTGCCAAACTTCATCCTGTCTTTCATGTATTCCTGCTCAAGAAAAGTTTGGGAGACACTGATGTTGCCTGTCCATCCCTACCTAGCTTCACAGAAGAAGGCTGGCTTCAAGTGGAGCCCGTGAAGATTGTTCATTTTAAATGGGTTTGAGCTAGGCACAAAATAATCCTGGAAGCAAAGGTGATTTGAAACAACCTGCAAGATGAAGGTTCCACTTGGGAATCTTATTTGCAGCTGCTCCATCAGTTCCCTCATGTTGACCTTGCGGACAAGGTCCATCTTGAGAGGGGGGAACTGTTAGGGCCCAGCCTGATGGTAGCCATGCTTTGCATCAGCCCATTACTGTAATACTGTTAATGGGCCTAATAAGAGCTCTTGCATGGGAACAGGCCCAGCTCATCCTATCCAGCATGTGTTCACACGTGCCGGCTTCAAGCCAACTGAAGTAACAGATTTAGATCTGATTCAGTTATTGGAATCAGACTTAAATCTCTTTTGATACCTCCATGTACTCATACCTCTTATCTGAGAGAGCCCCTACAAATTTCACTCACCTCACCTTTGGAAGTTGAACAAGGATTAGCAAATTACCCTCTTCTCTTCTTCCCTCCTTCAAGGAGGTTAAGCTTCCCTTGAAGAAGCTTCTGAATTGGGCAGTAACCCAACAGGGAAGGTCCTTGTGAGGAGCAGACAATTCACTAGGTGAGAGTATAGTTAGTACAACTTCAAGTATGATAAAAGAAACTTCGAGGAATGTTTACTCATAAAAGATGTAGAATTTTTATCTATTTGCTTTGCTAGAGGAGGGAGGGGAGATGTAGATACCTTTTTTGAAGAAAAGGGGAGATGTAGATACCGACTGAATATGTTTGTGAGGTGTGGCTTATAGGAGGAGCTTCTATAGAGGGGTGGGGAGGGGATTGCAGTTATCTCTTGTTTGTGTTTAGCGGGTTCTGGTTTTCTAATTTGTGATCAGGTTTTGGATTACCATCTTTTTGTTTAATTCAACTTTGGTTGTTCATAATTTTTTTATCAGTAACAGTGGTTTCATTAATTGACTAGTATAAGTAGAACACTACTCTGCAAGTGCCTGGGAAAAAGTAGGACAAACACAACCATTGGCTGGTAATGTCAC